AGCGTGTTTCTGCTTCCACTCAAAATAGGCATTTTCAAAATGATATAATAAATGATCTGTGGAGTATTTTGAGCTGAAATTTCACAGACACATTCTGGGGACACCAGAGACTCATATTACATATTGTAAAAAGGGGCATAATATGTCTCCTTTAAAGGATTAGTTCACTTCTGAATTAAAATTTCCTCATAATTTCCTCACCCCTATGTCATCCAAGATGTTCATCTCTTTCTTTCTTCAGTCGAGAAGAAATTAAGGTTTTTGAGGAAAACATTCCAGGGTTTTTCTCTGTATAGTGGACTTCAGTGGGGTTCACTGGGTGGAAGGTCCAAATTGCAGCTTCAGTGCAGCTTCAAAGCGTTCTACACGATCCCAGATGAGGAATAAGGGTCTTATCTAGCTAAACGATCGGTCATTTTCTAAAAAAGAATAAAAATTATATACTTTTTAACCTCAAACGCTTGTCTTGTGTAGCTCTGCAATGCGTATGTGTACTCTGTGCAGTCCCATTCGAAACAGTTAGGGTTGGTCGAAAAACTCCCATCTCATTTTCTCCTCCAACTTCAAAATCGTCCTACATCGCTGCAGAAGTACCAAGCCAGTGTTTACAAAGTGAACGTGCAAAGAAGGTCAAACGCCCTTTACAAGAAACGGTAAAACAGCGATGTAGGCGATTTAGAACGATTTTGAAGTTGGAGGAGAAAATGAGATGGGAGCTTTCGATATACCCTAACTGTCATGAACTGGAAAATGCACAGAGTTCACGCAGAATTAGACAAGATGAGCGTTTGAGGTTAAAAAGTATATAAATTTTCTTTTCTTTTAGAAAATGACCAATCGTTTAGCTAGATAAGACCCTTCTTCCTCGTCTGGGATCGTGTAGAACACTTTGAAGCTGAACTGAAGCTGCAATTTGAACCTTCCACCCAGTGAACCCCACTGAAGTCCACTATATAGAGAAAACCCCTGGAATGTTTTCCTCAAAAACCTTAATTTCTTTTCGACTGAAGAAAGAAAGACATGAACATCTTGGATGACATGGGGGGGTGAGAAAATTGAGGAAATTAATTCAAAAGTGAACTAATCCTTTAAGTATATAATATCAGCTGTGCACAAAAGTTGTTTAAAAACAGAAGATGATCAGAGGAGGTAGTGCTGGGCGGTATGACAAAAAATGTATATCACAGTATTTTTCAAAATTACACCGGTTTCAATGGAGGTCAATGTGGATATTGTGGATGAGTTCTTCTGTCATCACGTTCTATTAGTTCTACAGCTTCAGTTTCAGAACTTTCACGCTTAGTAACATACAGCTGTTCCCTCACCACAGTGCAACAGTGAAAAGGGACCCCTTTCGAACAGTGTCATGTTCCGAACGATGTTTAAGTGACATAGCGGTATTGCGGTATTTTAAAAATTCATATCATAACAAAAATAAACACCGGTATTCAGTATGAACCGGTATACCGCCCAGCACTAAGAGGAGGTTCCTGTCAGGGTGGAAAAGGTCAGATGGTTACAAACATAAAAATGTCACTAATTCAGTGAACGGAAGTGAAACACAACATGTTTATCTGTGAATCACACCTCTTATACCTCAGTCATTTGGATTGGTTTGTCTATACTAATGTTATATGGATTAGCTTAAACATGTCTTATTGGCCATTGCTTTAATGTACTCAACAGACAGTTTGTGACTGGTTACAGTGCTGAACGGTTGAAACCACAGCTGTAGTTCATAAGTTTAAGATTCTAAAGTATCTGTATCAGTATTGACAGTATACCAATATTATATTGGCACACATATTGTGTATCAGTGCATCTCTTAGCACATGTATTTATTTGATTCATGCGTCAAGACAGAAACAGTAGGATGACTTGTTTTGTATGTTGCGTAATTAATATCTAACATCACTGTGGGTTCTATCTGTGTTGTGTGTGTGTGTAGGTTGTCCCCTGCAGCATATTACGCACAGCGTATGATCCAGTATCTGTCTCGGCGTGACAGCATTCGCCAGCGCTCTCTGCGCCCCCCCAGCAGACCCCGACACCTGTCCTCCAATCCCAGCAGCCTCTCCCCTGGCCCTGCCCCCAGCATGGAGAACAACGAAGTTGACTTTGAGGAGTTTGAGTAAGTAAACAATAACAGACACATAAAGCCTGTGCCAAATTGTTTCTGCATTCTAACCTGCTCTCATCCACTCGTAAAAATCTCTATGGATTTATTTTCCTGTTTTGTTGCTAAGCAACCCAACAAACATGCAAGGCAGGCACTGAATCCCAGAATGTTATCATTTCTGCTTTTCAACCGACTTATTGAGCTTGCCAACAATTTTACCAGAGTTGCCCATGGCATCTCTTCTTATAGTGCTTGGCATTAGCGTTAGCCTTGGCTTGAAATGCACTTTAATTCCGATGGGATGTAGTAATGTACTGCTTTGAGCTTGCTGCTTTATTCCAGCTGGACAACTGTGAAATTATATAAATCATAGAAGAATTTTTTCTCTCATCTGTTGTGTTTTCAGTTCAAATCAAAGTTTTGTATTGTGCTTTTCAAAATACATATTATTTCACAGCAGGTTTACCAGGGTTCCTACTAGAGCCCGACCGATATATCGTTTTGCTGATATTATCGGCCGATATGAGCCTGTCGCCGAAAATTTTTTTTTACAGAACATATAACGCAGATAAAATGCTTGAAATGGTGTAATTACTTAGTTTGTCCAGCAGAGCACACTCTATTGTTTGCTACTGGTGACCTGGATGAAACGCTTTCAAGCTTAAGTCAATGGAAAACTATTGAAACTTTGAATGGCCATACCTCCTTAACGGCGCTGCAAATCTACCAACCAAGGAGAGGGCTCCTCGAGCTGAAGGGATCCCCCAAATTTGGTGGAGATCCGCCGGCGCGTTCGTGAGATAGTGACACCAGTCAACACTTTCCCTTCAGTAGGGAGGTTTCTTGTTCAGGCAGCATTCACGCGTTGTCTTATTCGACCGTAAGTGCCCTGCGAAGTGGACTTCACATGAAATTCCGCCATGATTCCAGTTCCAAGGGAACGTACACGTTACATTCAAAGGGCATTAAAGTGTGCGAGACGTGAATTTATATTTAGGGATGCACCGAATGTTCGGCAACCGAATAAGTGAAAAGACCGAATAAATTGTACCGAACAATGATATGATGCGATCAAATAGCAACCAGCGCAGAGTGAGAGGTGCGCTCTCTTTATAATGCAGCACACACGTGTGGAAGCATTTAAACTGTCTGAGAAAGACGCAAAAATCATTACAAGCACCGACAGCTGTTTAAGACTGCATCGCATGTCTTCAATGAGAAGAGGAAGGGGTGATTGTTGCTGGTTACTGTATGATGATTGAAATCGCGAAATGGCCTTAAACAATTAGTAAATAAACTGCAGAACGTTATGTTTTCTAATACACGCACGCATTGCATGTATTCTGACAGCACTGCACGAACTCCCAGCAGATCTTTTTGTTAACCAGGGTTCAAAGTCCAAAGCGTGAGGAAAATCTGTGCTGATACAGTCGTCCGTTGCTCAGTCACATTTTTATGAATTTTTACAAGGCATGTGACAATGCGATATGTACGACGTATTCGTAATGAGACTCATTTATAAATCTGATGTCAACAAAAATAAGCATTGAGGTCTTCCTGTGCGTTTCCGCCTAAATAAAAGTTGAGGAAAAGCAAGAACTCTTATCAACATTCATAAATGTTAGTATTGTAATTTTACAAAAAAAAAAAACACATGCCTGATTCAAGATGGCCAAAAATTATTACTTTACTAACTTATTAATTTTAAGTTTCACTTATTTAATTTTAAATTGTGCTTTGTTGGTATAGTGTCTGGTAGAATGTTAAAAATGTTCAGTGTTAAATATTTTTTAATTTGTTTTGTAATTGATTGTTTTTTTTTTTGAAAAGCAAGACAAAACATTAACAAGCACATTTTGGCCATTTAATTTATGCAATCACCATATTTGAGTGATCATTGCAAAAAATGTGTTTATATATATATATATATATATATATTCTGTTTATGTATATACTGTATTCTATATATAGTACCAGTTAAATGTTTGGACACACGAATGGGAAAGTGTCCAAATTTTTGACTGGTATTGAACTATAATATACACACAGAATTTTTTTTTTTAACTCCCTAATATCGGTATCGGTATCAGCCCCCAAAAACCCATATCGGTCGGGCTCTAGTTCCTACGCAGTTTGGAAAAGTATGGAATTTGATTCGAGTCATTTCCAGGTCTGGAAGAGTCCAGACTTTTGCCCCTATTTAATTTTCTATAATAGAAAATTAAGAATTTAATGAAAATACATTTATCATACAAGTGTGTTTTCATGGCAGCTGTTTAGTGATTGTTTAGTGATTGTCAGACACGACTGAATGAATTCAAGGTCAGTGCACTTTTTCATTATGCAAAAATGCAGGTTATAAGCGTTTTTGGTTTCTTCTCACGATATTCTTAGCACCGCATTACAGAGCTTCTAAAAGGATCTTTTCAAAAATAAAAAAATATACAGACTTTCATGTGTGCACGAGAAACCATTAAACTTAGCATATAGGACAATGCACACTGAGCCACTTATTGTTCCATCAGCCCATTTCGCGGTGAGGTTGCGTTAAAGCAGACTTAAAGCCTTGAAATATGACATACTGCCCTAAAGAGAGCCAAATTTTGAACACTTTTTATAGTACCAGCCTTTTTTATAAACCCTTGAACTTGGCCAATTGGAAAATGCACACAGCCGTACTGTGCCATCAGCCCAATTCTTGTCATTGTTTCTGCACAGATGATGCGTACTACCCTAAGAAAAGCCCAATTTTGAGCAAATATATCTCTATTAATTCATGTGCATCCATGCTGTCATTTTCTTCATAGTAAGATGGCTGTGATGCACAAAGGAAATAGGTTATATAGTATATATAAAACTAGAAATTGTAATGCGTAAGCACAAAAAATTCCCATGCGCATGTCAGTAGTTTCTTGAAGGCAACTAAAGTTTCTTGTGTGCGTGCAAAAGTCTGTTTTTTTTAGGGGCTCTATATGTTATCACTTCGAGAAAATCAATAAAAGAAAAGAAAAATATTTACAGATGACTATATAACAAATATAAAGCTGAAAACAATGCTCTATGAACCATTTATTTTAAGGTCTGAAAATCTACTGAGAGGTTTGGAAATTTGAGTCTTGAAAAGAATGGAATTTAGAGATGGAAAATGTGTAGGAACCCTGGTTTACTAAGAATAGTGACTTACAACCCCGATCAAGCAAAAAGGAAACAATGACAAGGAAAAGCTCCCCACTATGTTTAAGTAGATAAGGAACAAACTTTGGTCAAGCTATGAAAGCCCACCTGCTCGGGCTGTCAGATATTTAAACAAATTACATTACCATCTAAATGTTTGTGGTCAGTAAGATTTTTTTAATGTTCTCAAAAGAAGTCTCTTATGCTCACCTAGGCTGCATTTATTTGATCATAAATACAGAAAAACAGTAATATTGTGAAATATTGTAAAAATGTAAAATAATTGTTTGAAACTTATAAAATGTAATGAACTCTTTTAATGCCAAACTGTGATTTTTTTTAATCAATTTATTGTATCCTTACTGGATGAAAATATTTTCTAAAAAAATTAAATAATAATAATAATAAAATAAATAAATGAAAGTCTTGTTGACCTCAAACTCAAAACTGAACAGTAGTGTATACACAATGAATACATAAATATATCTTATAGAAGGAATTTTTTTTTGTTTGAAATTTTTAATTTTTTTTTAAATCTGAAAAAAAGTCCCATTGACACACCTAAATATCGGAGCAGCTTTCCAGTGGTGGCTTTCCTCTTCTGCCAGGTGTTGAACGTCGTCTTCCACGTGAAACGGAGTTAAACCATTCAATAGGGATGCAACGATTATATATTTTGTTGGTACGATTATTGTCTGAGGAATAATCACGGTTTTACGATTATGGCGATTATTATGCATTTATTCATTTCCCAACATTACTAATGTATAAAATCACATGTACACTCTTTAGATATTAAAGTGTTATTTATTGCTGGCTTTTGAAACAGAAATAACACCGTAACCAACAATACAGCACAAAATAATAATAAACAAAAGACAAACAAAAGTCCATCTCTCCCATTGGAATTAAAAAAAGGTGACCTCTGCTCTGTAAACATCCATGACGGTATTTCTCTTTTGAAAATAACAAATGGAAATAGATCACAAAAGTATTTAATGTTTTCAGTTTGTACATTCTTTACATTTGATTTGGACCTGGGGTAGAGAATTTGGAAACATGGTGAAAAAAAATATTGTTGGTATTTACTTATGAATAATACTACACCAGGGATAGTAAATAACTAAGTTAATGAAGTAGCCTATTATTAATATACGACTAATATTAACTTTATTTGTCCCACGGTGGAAACTGTTACTAATGATGGAAATTAACTGAAATATTATTGTAATCAATTGTCATCCATACGTATTCATTTTAATAATCTTTATAATAATT